GCCAACAAGGGATGTTCCTTGAGCTACGCCGGTAAATTTTGCAAAGCGTTTAGGAAGATAAAGTTAATATTGTTTTAGATTAGGTAATCATAATAATATTCTAACTAAACCTATAATATCAATTACGTTTTGTGATGATTATGTAAACTTCTAAACGAAGGTAAATAATAATGTTTTTTATACAGTTAAAATAAATTGTTATAAGTTATAATCAATTATATAGTATACTGTACATTGAAGTTATTTATAATTTTATACAATTTTCGAAAACTTCGTAAATGTGGTTAAAGTTATTTAGAAATCGTGTTTCAAATGAATGAATTACATATATTTCGTAAATATATTACTATACGATACGAGCCGCGTGCTGTTGTTGTACGCTCCGTTGTGAACTACCTACTTAAAGAAGAATTCCCCACCGCCAACATGCATCCTACTTCCACACAGTCACTACCATCAGATTATTATATTTATATATATATATAATATAATGCACGTCATCGCCATCAGCCGGAATACTCGTATTCTTACAACTCCCCGCCGTCATCGCTCCCTCTGCTGCACAGCTAAGTAGACGGGATTAGATGGAAACAACAACAAGAACCAAGACGACGACGATAAACGAATGAATAATAAATGCGCTTCTCGATTCCTCGCAGGGTCCCGTCATCGACTAGAGAATCGAGGGATTTATAATACATAAATATATTGTGTGTGTGTGTGTGTGTGTGTGTGTGTGTGTGTGTGTGTGTGTGTGTGTGTGTGTGTTGTGTGTTAAATGCTCCACGATCGGTGGGAGTGGAGGGGATATTTCGTTGAAGAAGCACAGGGAAAGTGGTGGTTGCGCTGAGTGGGGTGCAGGTACTCTGTCTCTTTGGGGGTAGAGCTGGGTATTTCAGTTCCACTATCGCGTGCGCATTTTGGGGGTAATACGGAAAACGATCCGGCGACGACGACGACGAAGACCTTGTTTGCCATCGACGACGTCTTTAATCGGCTTAAATATATAGATATATATACTTGACGTCGTCGTCGTCGTCAGAGGAGGAGAAGGATGAGAAATTTGATATACCCTGGACTCGACAAGGTTCGCGCCCGTAATTTTGGACGTCGTTTTTATTCCCATCTCCGACTGCACAGCGACATCTATTACTATAGTATTGCGAAATATTCGAGTAGTTTTATAATACTATTATAGCACTAAAGCACCATAGGTAATGCGTGGTAATGTGTTGTTTGCATTCGGAGTATTCTGTAATATATAAAATAACATCGTCATCTTAAACGTAATTGAATTAAGCACAAGTTTCCGCTTATTTCGGACAGTCGATATAAATTCAAAATTTACACAATGCACAGTGTAAGCCCTAAACGCAGATCGAACGATTTAATTTCCCAATTACAAATCACAACTTTCAAAAATATGTATTTACTTCAAACGTCGTAATGTACGTTTTTATATTAGTTTCAATAAATGACTACAGCGATTATACTGCAATAAAATGAATTATACTCTGAATATTTCATGTGGCCGTTCTTTATACTTGAAAACGTTGAATATACGGCAGATCCGTTTTCCATGAAATTGTTCTGTTTGTTTTGCTGCAGTTCAAACTTAAAATGGCCATTGACTTTTTTTCATGAGTATGAAACAAATGTCGAAAGAAATATTGAAAACTAATATTAATCAAAAAACATATTATAATCGTTGTAATATGCAGAGCTACCTACACTCAGAATTTATGCAATCGTTTATTTTTACTTTCAAATGCATAACAATTCAATATAAGTCTGTTGTATAATATGAATACATGATGAAATAAAAAACAACTAAATGTAACACGGCGTATTGTATAGGCAATAGCGGTACATAATAATTTTGATAGTGGAAAACCTAAAAATATGTTAATCCAACTATTATTTCGGTAATTTATTTTATGTAAACAAGTCATCCACGGTTTTAACGGATTTTCTTAATAACCAATCTTATTTTTAAACTACTGAACATAATAATATTATATGGTATTATATTATATTTAAAACAAGTTCATGTGATGTCAATATTCTGATATTCGATATAAATATTTCAAGCTTCCAGAAATGTGTTTTACAAATTCTAAGTAATTCTTGGTAGCTTAACTGAAACGGTAAGCCATTTTTTTTTCTTATTGCATGTGATAATTCAGATTGTAACTCGTCTTTATTAAATGAATTGTCTGAATTAAACATATTTTTATTAATTTTATACAAAAAAAAAATCACATTTCATAATGTTTTGTTCACATCAATCCGATAAATGTAAATGTATATAAATGGACTGATATTTTAATAAATTTTACCAATATGAGAAAATCTGCTATTATTATTGACTATTAGACTATATAAACTTTAAATGATGGATCATTTTACAAAACACTAATGGTTTTTTTTGTTTAATAGGTATTTATTTAAAATCCCAAAACTTGAAAATTCTTTTGTATTTAAAACTGTATAGTATTTTCAGTTAAAATATCAATATAATATTGTAAATGTTGTACACTTTTCTAGTTATTCTTTCAGCAATTTAAATGTAATATTAGTCTCCTACAATGTTTACAGAACAATGACATGTCAGAACATAAATAATGCAATTCTTATCATTGTTTTTTATGTCACTATAGTACGATCGGATAGTTTTGTCTGAATATATAAGTAAGGAAAATGTGTTACTCTAATTAAAAAACGTTAATATTTAGTTTTGATTATGGCCATTGAAAAAGACTGACAGCGTTCCACTCGATTTCGTTCTAATTTATTTTTTAAAGGTTAAATATGATTCCGTGTCCTCGCATATATAACGTACAAACTTTATGTTTACCGAATTAATTAATTTTTGTACAGTAAATTAGAGCATAGAATATGTATGCTCTATATTTCTAATAAGAAAGTATCATAAATAATTCCTTGAAAAAATACAACCATTCTAAAGTGTTTTTACCCCGAAATATGCAAAAATTAAAAATATGGAATACAAGTAACAACTCATTTATAGATTATTAATTTAAATGAATAGACTGTAAGCAATGTAATACGATAAACATCAATCAATAGAGACAAAAATATTACATTTAATTATTTAATTATTTAATTATTTTAAAATGGCCAATGGACATGAAACTATATTAAAAACTTGGTTTGATAATATTTAGGTGTGGCGAACCTGTGTTTTTTGTCCCTCGTTTTTGGTATATTACCTAAAATAAACTTCAAATATGATAAAAAAATGGCTTAAGAAGATATCATTTTATTTATAAATTAAAAAAAAATGAATTTTAGTATATACCTAATATAATTTAACTGTCAGTGAATATTTCTTTAAGGCACTTGCCTTTAGTAATATTACTAACTACTGTTGATGTAACTTTTTAATAATGCATTGTATTATTACACTTGAAATTTTAATAAAAAGTTACCTATATAATTTATTATAATAAAGAAAAACAACCATATATAATAGTCAACAATGACTAATTATCATAATTTATTTTATTATGATACCAACCGTGTAAGATATTATGTAATTCAAAATATATTTGGAATGATGATTGGACTCTAAATACTATCTGCATTCAAATAATTATCTTGTTAAACACAAATAATGAAAATCGTTTATAAGCCGATAGATAATTTTCAATCTTAAGCATTTACCTCAACGTATTATAAAAAAAATAGCAAAATAACTTAAAGAAATTGATAAATGACAATCCGGTGAGTAATTCAATACGTTTTTTACTATATTCACCGGCTATCCTTATTTTTAATGTTATATCATATAAATAGTATACAGTTTCATTGAAACGTATTATTTGTTTGTTATTTTTAAAAAAAGGCACTAGGTATAAAAAATTAAAAAATTAAAGGTTTATTTTAATTTCTACGACGACTTTCTCGCATTAATTGTTAACACCGCGGAAGGAATTATGGATAATGACTACGAAGAATTCATGTGATTTAAATTTAATCGGATTTAGATATTTTCAGCAGTTAAAATTCGAAATAAATTAATCTTGAATCCAATGTTACGTTGACACAGTAACGTAACCATTGAAATGTTGAATATGATACTGCGTGGGTCTTGTAAATTAGCTATTTTATTCGATGGGGTAAGTGATCAGTAAATATGTGAAAATTGTTCAGTGTTATCACGAGTTATTTTCACGTCCTCTGTACATTATAGTTGGACGTAGTCGTACTCGAAATTATATTTATATGTACCAATGCTCGGAATTATGATTTCTCACATACTATGACCTACATAATATAGGCGTAGGTACATATATATAGGTATATATAAATAATCATCACCTACTAATATATTCATCTATAATTCCAACATAGGTTGATTTTACCGTTGACTACCACTCATGTATAACCCCGTTTTATTAGAACACATAACACGCCACTATAATAAACGAAAATAATATCATATTATATTAGTATGACAGTAATATTTTGATAATACATTTTGTGTGCGACGAGAGCGACATAGCTGGTATACGATCGCGATGCGGTCGGAGTTATGTACCGACACGCAAATATTTAATAATATGCGCACCACAAAATAACTTTCACGGCTGTGTGTAGGCAGACGAACGTGTACATATCATTATTATGACGTATTATGTGTGTGTGTATATATTAATGACAATAACGACAATATGCAGATGATGACGCGATTTTTCCGTCACCGAAGTCTGAGACCGCGAAATGGATCCGAGGCGCCATATCATAGTACGAGATTTTAATTTATCAACCTAGGTATATTTTCAAAAACAAAAAATCTCCCACTCGGGGTACCTATAATTGTTTAACAGCCGCGAAAAGCAACAGCATTTCCGGCAAATGGTTTTCCCGCAGTCGCATACCCAATAGTTATTGGCGGGACAATCGCGTCGTGCATATAGTTTTCCGTTCGCGCGCGTAAAATTAAAACATACTGCTTATATTATTATTATCATTACCTCTCTGTCTTGACGTATCACCCGAGCAGCGTTTAAGGACAACAATACAATATTATAATATTATAGCCGATGTATTATTGTTATCGTTATTGTTATTATGATTATATGATTATGCGCGTGCGGCGACCACGTAGCACACGGTTTTCAGTGGACTTTACGAATACAACATAATAATAATATACGATTGTCGAGTACAAAACAATTATTCTACCTGCACGGCGATATAATATCGTACGATCGCGCGGCGGAATCGACGGGGCCGAGAGGATCGCTGGCGGTGAGACGACTGCTCCTGGGCCCGAGAGTGACGATGCAGGTGTTGCCGGTTGCCGTTTCCGCCGCCGACTGTCGCCGAGTCGAGACGGTCATGTGCGGTGGCGGCGGTGACCGTGTCGGCGACGTGCTGGCTCGGCCGGCCGGCGAATCGCCGAAAACGCCAGCGCGCGCCAAAAGACGATTGCGACCGCCCCCCGTCGGCGATGACGCCCACCGCGAGCGTCGGAGTTTTCCGCGAACATCACACGCCGCACGCTGCACACACGGACACCCATCGCCACCCCCCCGAAACTCCCTCCCGCCGCCTATACCCGACGCTGCCCCCCCGCCCCCTCCCGGCTCCCCACCCACATCCACCCACGAGCCCGTCTCCTCGAAATAGCGGTCGTCCGGAGACGATTACAGTGCGATTTAGACGATATTATACATAAACGGGTGGCATAGTATACATATATTGACGTGCTGAGACTCGTGATTGATACGGAGGTACTGCAGTTTACCGGTAAAACAGGGCGCCGCTAGTTGTTGGGTTCTCGAACACAAATATACGCGAGTTCCCGCAGTCGCAGTAGAAACAAATTCTGTTTATTTCTTTTTTTCCAGAGAGAGAGAGAGGAAAAGTTATCGCCCGACAGACTTGTAGAGAAGAAGCCCCCTCTTACTCGTCCCTATTGAGGATTACCTTTAACGGCGTTAATGATTTCTCACACACCTTTCAATATTTTCACTCGGAATTTCATGAATACATTGTCACCATAAGGCCGGGACTACAAACGGCGTATTCTGCCACGTTTCGAACGCCGCGCATTCCACCCCGTTTTCCGACCGGTATGGCCCATCCTAATTTAAAACAATATAAAATTAGGAGTTTACGTACTAGTGCACTAGTTTTCAAGTTTTGGTGTGGGTTTTGGTAAATTAAAAACACCCAAAATCCCCTCTACTTATTATTTATTTAATTCATGAGGCTGAATTTTAGGTTTGTAACTATGTGCTTTAATCACACATCTAAAATATAAAACAATATAGGTATACCATTGTATCACCATATTATAGATGAAATATGACTGTTTGAATATTTTTTAAACTAATTTAAACATCTCATAATTTTTATAAGCTGCTATTTTTATTTGTTTTTTGACGTTTTTTTATTTTGCACCAGTCAGTGCCACTAGTTCCCGGATGGGTGGCCGGTGTTCAGTATCACATCCTTGCCACACATACACGTGTTTCAAGCCTACTGTACTCTAACTCAAAGTTAAAAACCTACTAAAGACCATCCGTTGGTCTTAATTAATTAATAGAAAAATTAAAATAAAATAATTGGCTTAGGTATAACTATAATACATGCAATATTTTTGAAAAAATAAACCAATTAAATAATTTCAATTGGGCAGGTAATTTGAAAAAAATACTAACAGCAATATAAATATAAAAAAAAATATCCTTAGAAATATATTATGCTTTCATACCGTTGCAGCTCAGAACCGTTTATCGTATACAATATATATGGATTATCATTGATTTCAAATTGAAAACAACCATTAGAGTGACCTACTCAACTGCGAGGAACACTCGACACCGACTACTGTTTACTATAATGCATCTAGAGACCTTCCCAGTTTTTTATTTTTCATTTACTGTGGTTATGTTTTTCCTGTAGGCATATTATTATTTATCGAGAGTGTTCTTATTATATTGTGCACATTGGTTGGCCACCAACTGTATGCAATACATTTAAAACAATGGTACATTATTTGAAAATAATTGTATGCAAACCATGAATAACGCCCCCCCCCCTTTGTCTTTAAGTCAAAAATAATCTAAGAGTAGCTCCCGCGGCCCAGCCACCGCAACCTGCCTGATCACTTCCGGACAAATTGTAAACAATTTTGTTATAACAATTATACATGTTTTAAGTACTCGTATCACAGGAGCCAAGTGGTCGAGCTTGTGGTATTTACACCATAAACAAAAAATCGCACAGCGAAGGTGTAGCGAAAAGGTTTATAATGGGTGTCCTCTCAAAATATATTGTATTACCATATAATGATATGATATGTCGACGGTATTAATAAACTGCTGATTTCAAATAATTAACAGTGTAACGAGCTACGACATCCTAAAAGATATACCTACCTACAAGTCATATCGAAGGCTATATGGAACATCTGCAGGTACTCCGAGCTCCCATTTAAGTGATTTCGGCTCCTTTGATTTGGTGGCACGAGTATTTCGCAATATCCTCGTTGTTGTTGTTTACGCGAAAACATTAAATTACATTTGTGTCAGTTGGAAGGGTACTAGACGTTTTCTAAACATACACTATTATAATTTTTGCTACATTCAAATAAACTATAATTTTTGTTGATTATTTGAAATTATTCATTAAAAAACCATCAATATTCTGATCGCTGGCAAACTCCATACAACAACAACAAAATTACCAATTTCCCGAAATCAACCGCACCACCGCCTGAAATCGGAATTTTGACTGACAACTTCACGGAATCAGCAAAAGTTGTTTTAGGCAGACTTTTACCGAATGCATGAACTCTCAACGGCACATCATCCGATGATGGTGCAGTCCGGTAGGTCCAATGGACACATACCTATTTAAAACTATAGAATAATGAACCACGAAATAAGATAATATAATATATAAATTAAAACGATTTGAAGTATCAAAGAAACGGCCCAGTATAGTTGTTGAGTCTTACAACTCTGAAGTCTGAATGAACCAATATCCATTTTTAGTTCTATAATCCGTCTTTGCCTTTGAAAAAATATAAAATATAGCTATATATATTAAGTGTATCTAGGTTTTGGTGTACGTCGGTTTACGAACAAATTTTAAGTTAGTGTACCTCGCTTTGTGAATTATTTCTACCAAGATTGACAATTCACCCGCGGTGGATTGGATATAACACTTTATATAAATCGAATGTAGTTTAAACTACTCCCTAAATGTTCCTGATGCCTCCAAGAATGATCTGAATAATGTTCACAAATCGGTAAAGTGGTTTTTTTTAGTAGGTATCTATATAGCAAGCTCAATGGAAACAAATACTAATTTATCCTATTATACTATTATAATATGTAAGCTATAACCAATAGTAACCATTTATAAACAAAATGGTCCATTATCTCAAAATCGTGAAATTCTAAGATTTGCAATAAAAAAAAATTAAGGACTGTTCTATTTTTCAAGTTGTACCAACCAAAATACATTTACGAAATTTCATTAAAATCGGTAAAGTGGTTTCGGAGTTTAGCGTGATCGAACATCGTGTCACGAGATTTATTCATAAACATAAAAAGATATTATGTTAAGCTTATATTTTACCGATCAATCAAACCCTTTCCCGTGTTCACATCTGACGTGTGTACACACATACTTTTTTTTTTTAATATAAGCAAAAATTGCCTCAACGGCTACGGTATCTGAATATATTATTATCGGACCCTATAAATGATTTCAGCTCCTTTGACTTGGGCGTTTCACATATTTTGCAGGTGTCTTAGAGTTTGGTTATTTTTGTAAAAAATGTGAAAGATAGGGTTATAGTTTTGAATATCGATTAATACTAGTTTTGTAGAATTTATAAGGACTCTAACCGTATTATTATATCATAAGACATCAATTTGAGTTTTCTAGGAATTCTAGGAATCAAATTCGTGACTAAGTTAACAAAATAGTTTTTTTTATGGTACTCTGATTTCAGTTTATATAATCTGTAAGTTAAACCAAAACTGATGATACGTCAATGTATATTGTTATTCTATCTATTCAGTATAAATGTATAATATAAAATGCATAGCCCGTAACAGTATTTTATAGCTATTGAATGACGTAATTTTTTTTTTCAATTTTGAAGTTAGCTAACAATTTGTGTTTACTTGAACTGATACCTTGTTAGATTGTCTTACAATTAAAGATAATATTATTATTTTTTTTTTTGTATTTTAATGTAAGCTTGATATCTTGAAGCTTGACTGGCGGATGGACACCAAATTGATACATTTTCATAAGAAAAAAATGATTATAGCTCAATGAGATATTTATAAAAAAATTCATGGAATGCATAGCATAATGGTTTTAACTTTCCCCTCTAAGGCTGTTCATTACCAGAGGTAAAGTACTCGTATTAAAACTTTTACAACTGTTATTTTATTCTTTTTTGATTTATGTTCGGTTATATGCGTTACACAGGTACGATAGAGAGAAGTGGGGTGAATTTACAAATGCAAAAAATTGTTATGAATTGATCGACAAGCTGAAGAAGCAAAACAACTACAATATTAAGTATTTTAAAAAAGGCTTTGGGAAAAAATATTTCAAAAATAAAGACTTTCATTAGCACGTCTTCCTCCCAACTTGAGTGTCGTCCTGCCGTATTAAACCAATAAAAACTAACGATTTATCGACAAATAGGATACAATCATATTTATGTTTATTTAAATTTATGTAATGAGCCCATGCTCCGCGTACACACACGTGTATGTCATACACATTTACATTTTTCATAACTCTTGTTAGTTCAATGTTCAAATGTATTTTTATTTTTTACAGCAATTCAAATACTCGATAATGTGAAATTTTTCGACTTCGGGTCACCGTAGGCGACCATGTATTTTCTTTTAATTTAATATAGTTGCCAGTCGGTATTTTTAATCGCGGTGTATAACCCGTGCGATAAACAATTTGCGCCGAGGTCATTAAACCGCTGCAGGTTGCTGCCGAATAAGGTATAAGACACTGTTTTTCACGACCATTGTACGCCAGCGTTCGCGTATGTTTAATTAAAAACGCTGGCGCCGCAAACTCTTTTATACAGTGGTTAAGTATACGGACAAGCGTATATTTTTAACGGCGGCCGCCGCGGCCGTTATTGTGGCTTTATTACACCTGGGCACCATCATCAACATCTTGTATAATAGTATAAAAACGCCAACCGCATATTATACTATGTATACATAATATTATAAATTAAAATATTATTATTTTTATACTGCACCCACACCATAGCATACCTATTCATGGACCTCGGTATACCATCGTCT